TCTAGAATTAATGGAGTCACACGTACGATAAAGCTCGTCCGCCAGAATGGTAATTCCGCTGACAAAAGAACATTGTTGAGCTCGACGGTGACCATGGGTCTAGAATGAGGGTGAGGCGCGTGCAGTACGCCGGTCCAACGACCGTATCATGACTGCCATGACATTTACTATCACTGCACACTGCCTGTGTTCGGCAATGGAAGTGGAAGGTATGGAGATGACGTCTAGTGGTCCGGATCGGAGTAGCGTTGGGATGATGTGCAAGAGAGAGGGGGGCGTGTTCATCGTCGTCGGAGAGCTCGGGAGTGTGGGCGGTATGAGGAGGCGTGTAGAGCTGGTGGTGGCGTGAACTCGGAGGTGGTGAGTTAGGAGGGATTGGAGTAGCGGGTCTGCGGGAGTTAGAGGTTAGCTGCGTTATGGAGGTCTTGGACGAGGGAGAGGAGCTGTGGGCGTTTTTCGTAGTAGTTTTCGGCGCGCTCGGCGAAGGAGTCGGAGGGTGAGTCCTCCGGCAGAGTGTTGGCCAAGGACTGAACCCTCTGCTCAACGTCTGCAATTAATGCAGTAGTTAAAATATATCAAGAGAGTGATCGCAGAGAGGAATTAATTGAACTATAATCATGCAGGATACACACAAAAATTTAAATAGATAGTATGCTAGCTAGCCAAGGTTTCCTCGTGAACAAGAAAATATTCTACTAAAAAAAAGCACGGAAATTGATCAAATAATTATCAAAAAATTCGATTATTGTTCTTCTAACTACTCACTCATTCGAGTACGATTCTAGAGATTATATAAGAGAAATATAAACAGATCAACTATAAGAAGAAGATTTACACAAACATTCGTTTAAAAAGTGATCATTTGTATCATCTAAAAACATTCTAACGCCTCAAAATGAGAAGTTTTTACCAGTTCTCTTCTAGTAATTTTTTTTTGCAAATAAAAGCTATAACCAATTGAGCTATGCATTGTTCAAAATGAAATAAGTAAATTTACTAATTCCTCCTTGCATCCCATGACACCTGCATAAATCAAGGAAACCCTTTCATGCTTTCATGATGGGGGAAAAATGAAAACTCCCACACAACAAAAGTAAAATCAAGTACTACCCCCCAAAAGTTATCATGACAGTAAATCTTTTAACTAATTACAGAGACTTATCATGACAGTTTCAAATTTCAAACCATTTACCACTTCAAACAAAAGCATCTTTTCACCTTTCGACTATAATTACAGAAATGGATTCAAATTTCAAAAACACAAATTAAACGCCAAAAACAATAGTCATAAGTTAAATTTTCACGTTCAACCTCCTCCTTTAATCATTTTCCTTCCACAAATAAAATAAAAAATAATAAAATAACAAAAGCTATGTGTATCGTGACCGCACCTGCAAGGGCCGCCTGAAGCCAAGGCGGGCACGTGACCGCCCGACACGAGCCGTGACAGCTCACTGTCG